ATTGTCAAGGATAAATGGTATTGCAGTTGGTTATGGATTATGTGAGGTGTTTGATGGAGCATGGATAGAGGAGATGGTTAGGAGTCGTGTTTATGAGTCATCTGTCGTGAGATCGAATCCTAAACTATATAAAATTATGCATTTTTATGCTAATTTGTGTTTAATGACTGGAACTAATGTTTATTCAAGGTTAACAAGTGTTTGAAGTTAGCTTTTAACATTCTTGAGTCAGTTAAGTAGCTAGTCTTCTTTGTATGGGTCTTCTAATGCTAAACATAAAGACTAAGATGTAAACTCACCTCCTTATCCTCATTTCTGAACTGCCAGCTCCCCAAGAACGCTCCAAACATCAAATCCCAAAAGATATCGCCAATAAATTCAGCAATTCTGCTGTAAAATTGAGAGCATTTCGATACTTATTCATCCAATAACCAAGAATGCCACACGTAGCATCAATTTCATACAATAGAAAGCAAATAATGCTCGATTTTCCTTCAGCATGTGCTCCCAGCTATAATCACAACGTCAATCCAAACAAATTGCAATCATTTTAATGCAAAAATTGCAATTATTAATCGGATGAAATTGCAACAATTTTCAAAAATTAAAAGAATCAGCAAAATTATGTGAAAGTTGACCTCCTGACACATTCATAACTATATTATCTCTATGAAAAAAATATAGATAGGTGCATTGCTTCGCTGTTATTATTTTTTTTATTGCAATATTCAGTTTACGTGACAACATCGAGAATAAATTTTATTTTATTTCTTTCCCTACCGCTTCTCCCTTTCCCTTATTTTTTTTTTCATCGCACATACTTCGTGCACTTGAGTCATCAGCCATCATCGTTTTCTTCTTTCCATAGCGACCACTTCTACTCTCATGTGAGCGTGGAATGAAAATTGTATTTTATTTTCAACAGCAACAACAACAACAACAGCACAGAACCCTAGTAACAATGAAAGTAGGATTATCCGATGGTGATATAAGTATACATCATGTTCGTGCATGTCTGTTCGCTTTACAGAAAATACTGATAAGATTTTGATTGTTTACGACCATAACACCCGATGTATTCCATATTTGCATGAGCTAAAAGACACTGTAGGGGGATGCAGTTATGTATAATGTGACATTAATATTCATGAAAGTCTCTTTAATCGACTTAGATTCGGTTATTAGCTTGATATGGGGGATGTACAAATTTTCCTTTGTGAACGATCCATTTTGTTTAATGATGGAAAGGATTATTCTAATAATTTATGATACACACATGCTGCAACAAAAAAGAAATTCATGAAAAATTCACAAAAATTATGGAAACCCTTTTTTCATCTTTATTGAGACAGACTCATGAATATTGAGGTTGAGAATAGCATCATTATGAATTAAAATAATAATGAGGATAATCGGACCACATATGGACATAAAAACTTTAAAGGAAGTTGAGGATCTTTAGTGATTTTGTGGTATAAAATTCAAATGTTTGTTTTAAAAGTTTTCGGAACTATTGAATTGGATTTAGAAGAAGTTAAAGTAATTGGATATCGATTGGAAGTTCTTGAAAAGTAATTAAAAGTTTTTTTTAAGAAGCTTGTAAGTTTCTGATCTTTGCTTTTGATAGAAAATGTAAATGTCTTTTTTGTAGTTCTGTTGCATCTTTGTTGCTCAGTTCTACAGCTGTTGCTCAATTCAGCTTTTGTTGCTCAGCGCTGCATCTTAATTTTATAATTAAGCATCATTGCTGCTAAATATTGTGTCTTTATTGCTCAATTTTGCTCAGTTTTGCATCTTTTTGCTCAGTTTCGCATCATTTTGATCTTTTTGCATCTTTGATGCTTATTTTTGCATCTTTTTCAAACTTTTCGAAATATTCAAAACTCTAATTAATGAAAATTGTTTAACATAACCTCCAAATAAGCAATTCCAACAACATCACATCACCAACAAGTTCAAAAAACTTTCTCACAGAGAGAAAAATAAAACTTTCATATTAAAAAAATCATCATAATTTAATACTATGCAGTAATATCTACAATAAATTCATATTGACTACTATTACCATAATTTTAAGATTACAGAGAAAATAATTCCACATTTTATATTACCTCATAAAAACACTGAATTTATAATTTTAATTCTCGACTAATTTTTTATTGCATGGTGGAAAATTCAACGTTACAGCCAGACGTCAATAATGTTTATTCTAAGCAAACCTTTACACAGTCACAAACACACACGCTCAGTCAATGATCAAAAGAAATTTATCTGTAAATATTTAGATGAAAAATAAAATTCGCTGGTTCATGCATTTGACATTAAATACACAATAACCACGCATGATTGCTAGCGGAATCAATGTCAGCGAAATGTGTGTATTGTATTAACCTTACAATGTACACACGAAATATTTTCAAGTGGTTCATCTTGAAGATTCACACTCAATTTTTCAATCAAACTCAAGATTACGTAAATTGGAAATTTTATACGACAAATAAAATCTTGAAAAATTGACGTAAATCGAAAGTTAAATATTCGCATTTTGGATTAGCTGATCTGTCTCACAATCTTTATTTTTGTATGAATTTCATTAAATTTTCTACCACAAGTTTATGCGCATTAAATTATTTAAGCAGTTTATAAAGGAGACTCAAAAACTACTTGTAGAATTAATAATAAGATTAGCTTTGTGGAAATGGAGTGAGTTACATAAATAATAATGAGAATGCGACTGGAAAGTTGGGAATTTTGACTTATTGAGTAGAAAATAGGGATCATTCATGTTGGGATTTAATGTTTAAGGAAGAGAAATTTTAAAATTGCTGAATTGAAAACTTACTTAAACTTTTGCATCTTGCTACTCAGCTTTGCATCTTGTAGCTCAGATTTGCATCATGTTGCTCAGCTTCGCATTTTTTTGCCTAGTTTTGCATCTTTGCTGCTTAGTTTTGCATCTTGTTGTTCAACTTTGCATCTCGTTGCTCAGTTTTGCATCTTATTGTTCAACTTTGCATCTTGTTGCTCAGTTTTGCATCTTGTTGCTCAGTTTTGCATCTTGTTGCTCAACTTTGCTTCTCTATTGCTTGGTTTTGCATCTTTGTTGCTCAATTTTGAATCTTTGTAGCTCAATTTTGTGTAAGTGTTGCTTTAATTTTCATAATTCTGTCAAATTTGCATGTTTTTCCATCTGCCTGGTTCAATCTTCTCACCCCTACGAAAAAAAAATTATTAAACAATTCAAAAATCACGGAGGAAAATTTCAATTAAATCAAAACAAGACGCAATTTTAAAGTAGCAATAAAAATAATGAAAGAAAAATAAAAAGTATATAAAAATTCTCTTCAAATTTCAACCGACATGTGACATTTTTTCGAAAAATTCCCACGCATGGTGAGGGAAGCAATCCGAGCAAGCGACAGCGAGAAACACGACAGAAAAAATTTCATACATGAAAGAAATTGTCTTCCAAAAAAAAGAAAAAAAAAATAACATAAATGTATTTGTACGACTGTTCCAATCGTTTTATGTGATATGACTACACAGAGAAGTAATTCGTTATGATTGACAGTCACCCTCTTATGTTGAATGACGATTACGAAGATAAAAATGTATGAATGCCGAATGAAATGATTTTCATCCCTGCATTTACAGATTTATTTCTCTATCTTTTCTCGTGCTGTTTTCCAAAAGGCTAATGACATCCTACTGTGCTTTCAATATATAAAGAAATTCTGTCGAGAAGATTTTGATGAATGTAGCAACAGCAGTGGAAGCAGTGAAAACTCATTTCGGTCTATCTTTTTTTTTCCTTCTTTTTATGCGGGATTTGTGAAGGGAAAATTTATTCGGATTTTGGACAGATCTCTAGGGGGGAGAATGTAAAGGAAAAGTTTTAGAGATATATTTCAAATTGTTTAATTTTATATCAGGTTTGGGACTGTTACGCATCAATTTTTCTTCATTTTTGCATCTCTTTTGCTCCGTTTTGGATCTAATTTGCTCAATTTTGCATCACTTTGCTCAATTTTGCATCAGTTTGGCATCTTATTTGCTCAATTTTGCTCAGTTTTGCATCTCATTTGTTCAATTTTGCATCACTTTGCTCAATTTTGCATCAGTCGTGCATCTTACTTGCTCAATTTTGCATCATTTTTCTCAGTTTCGTCACTTTATTCAATTTTTCATTTTTAAAATATTTATAAAATAAAAAAATTCCAAAATAATTAAAACTCCATAAAATAATTCATAAAAACCTCAGAACCCCCTCGAAAAAAAAAGTCCATAAACATCCATTTATGAAAGGATTCAGAAGATGAAAAATTTCTGCGAGTATTTTTAACCCAAAATTAAGACAGCAACAGAGATACCACAAAAAAAGGGGGATATTTTTATCGGATGGGTCTACCGATTTTTTTTCATCTCTCTCCGCAAATAACAACAGCTACAGTAGCTAACAACAACAAACACGGCGAGTGTAGGAAAAACCGCACAGAAAAATATAAAAAAATAAAATTTTTAATTCAGTAAAGCACCGAGTGAGAGAGAAAAGTAGCACAAAATTCAATTCACTTTGTGGAGAAGGCAGAGAAAAAAATATGAAAAAATATAATTCTAGAATTCTAGAGCTCCGAATGTATTATGTGAAGTGCCTTTTTCAGGCTTATTGAAGATTAACAAAAAAAAATAACAGAAAAAAATTTATATACACACAAAAATGGTATGAAGAAGTAAGAAATAAAATAAAAATGAAAATGGATGGCAAGATATATAAAATGAATGTTGTAGTTCCATTAGCATTAAAAACCTGTTTTATTTTATGTATATAAGTAGATAATACATAATGCACACATACACATATAAATATTTTACTTTTTTTTAAAGCATCAATATTCAACATTCTTTTCCATTTCTTTTCTCTTCCATTTCTTCGCATCGTTTAACATCAACGACGACCACGACATCTTTAAAAAACGCATTTTTCTGTTCGAAAAAACCAGATATTATGAGAAAGACAGTCAAATTAATGATCAGCATCAGCAACAAATCAAATCCCATCATAACAAATTTGAGTTTGATCTCGAGCGAGATCATGCGCTGCCTACATCAGCTCCGAATGCTGATATATTGAAAAGTAACAACAATCCAACCTATCCCAATCCAAATAGGCATCACAATCATAATCATCGACATCAGAATGCCACACCAAGTCCGCAAGGTAAGAATCAATTTTTTTTTATATTTCTTCTTCCTATTTCAATTTTCAGTTCTTGCTGTTTTCTCATGTTCTTGTCTTATGGTTTGATTTTATCGTGATTTCTGCAGCAATAAAAGGGAATATCAAATATTTCAGAGTTCATTTTGGGTTGATGATTGACTGATGGAATTTCGTTCCTTTTTCATGTTCAATTTGAGACGTTTAAAAGAGTCAGTTGCATCGCATATGGCTTTTGCCACTTTTTTGAATAAGAACAACTCGTTTTATGGCAATAAAAGTTCTTAATTGATGAGAATTTTACAAAAAACATTTCAAAGTGAGAAATTTTTACAAAATGGCGGAAACAGAATTTGAATTTAAACAGTCAGTTAAGTTTTTGACTCAGCAATTCTAAACCTGTCACCCTCATCTTATTTAATAATTTATTGATTTTACATTTTCTTTTTTCATAATATTATACAATGTCCTTGGAATTAATCTTTAATATTATATTAATAGGCATTATTGTTGTCATTAATATTATTATTAGCACTGCCGCTATGAGTTTCATCTTGTAGTTATTCATTCATTCAATACTATATTTTTTATATTTTTCCATTCACGCATGTCACAACTCGATATAATCATATTATTAATGGATAAAGTTTCTTCCTTCATATATTGAGAGAGAAATATTATATTATGGATGTATATGAATAGACCCAGTAAATATTGAGCGATGTTAATGTATGTATAGAAAATGATAATGATGATGATTCTCTTATAATCAAAAGTATAAGTCTCATATTTATAGACTTACGTATCAACATTAGTTAAAATATGGAATTCATATCCATTTATTTACTATAAATATTTTTGATTGAACTGTCCTATTTATGGTGTTATTAGACATATTATATTTTTTTTTCTCGAGACTTTATTGTTATTGTTTTGTAAAATTATGCAAAAGAAAATGAAATTGTGACCATTTATGTGACTTAAATATTCATAAATCTACACGACTTTTTATCGTTTTTATTCACTCGGATTTATCCATTCTTGCTGCTCTGAAAAATTCATAATGCCTTCAATGTATACAATACACGAAAAAATATAATTTTTCTCTCTTATGTATGCATAAAGTATTATCGTCAGTAATTTTATGAATAAAACATATATTCAGCCAGAAACGGAATAAAGCCATGTAGAAGAGTCGCTGGGATGGGCGGCTTATGCGCATTTTTATTGCTTCTTCAAACGGAAGTCGTTTAAAGCCATGAGAATATTACTCTGTGATAGAATTGCATTAGCTTTAAGTTAACGAATTTTTTTATTTTGAATTTTGATCTTTAAGTTCAATTTTTGATCCTCAAGCTCATTTATTGAGCCAAGTGTTTGATTTTTAAATTTAGAATTCAATTTTTGAACTTCAAATTCAAATTTTAACGACTTTTGAACTTGTAATAAAAATTTAAAAATTATTTGACCACAAAAATTAAGGATGACAAAATGAACTCTGAATCTGTCCTTATATTCTGCAAAAACAGGCATGCCAAGAAAAAAAAACATAAAAATATGATTGATATCATGATGAGCGATGAAATTCATTAAAATAATTTTTTTTTCTCTTCCTTCTCTCTTTTATATTCATTGCCGTTATCTATAGGTCACAGCAAAAAATCTCCAACATTACCAATGCATTCCGGAAACTTGCCATCATACTCACCTCCCACGCGATCTTTCTTTACACCACCACTGCCACGCGAATACAATAATCCATTTGCTGATAAACCGACGTTACGAGGAACAAATAGTGAAGTTGGAATTATGGATACGGGAAATTTTATGAATCGAAGACCAATTCCACCACCAAGTATAACTCCTGGGCATGAGCGGGTGCCACTCCGGCCTGATTTATCTGATAATCGGGCTGTATCCATTGGCACCTCATCACAAGCATTAAATACAGACTTACAGCAACAACAACAATCGTCACAACCGAAAAAAGTACTGAATACACCATCACATAAGAACAAGGTCGATTTAGGTCACCCGTACGATAACAGCAATGGCAATAGAGCACTGTCAAATTCTGATAATCCATCGGATGTGTCAAAAATCATTCCAAGCATTTCGAGAATCTTATCGGGCTCAAATGGACGTAAAGAGGATATTCCAGACGTACTTTTACGTACAGTTACCGTTCGTCCAATTCCGGCTGCAGAGCCATCAACAAATGAGCCATCATCACAATTACAACCGGACGGTAACAACAAAAATTCACCGTCAAACAATTTACCATCGGATTTAGACGATAATGATAAAGTCAATGGAAATAATGGAGAGAATGACGATAATAATGATGTGAAAGATTTAAATTCGAATCAAGATGGGGACGAATCAGATGATGAGGATGTCGAAGAAGATGATTATGATGATTTCTCATCACCATCACAATCGAATAGTATGAGTAATAAGAATATCAATAGCGGTAATGATATGAAGAAGGATGGCGAGACAATTTATTCAACTGAGAATATACAGAATTTAGCAAATGTCAATCATGATCGTAGTTTATTTACGTCAACACAACAGCCACAACAGAATCCAATAAATCAACAGAATCCAATTTACAATATTAATACAAATAATAAATTTAATGCTGAACAGAGCGAGGTGCAGACATGGACAATTGCGTGGAATATTCATGTCTATTTATCAGCCATACTCTTCACAATACTCGCCGTCTATTCAATATTTAAAATGATGTTTTATGATAAGCTCACGCATCTATTTAATCAATCGTACTTCATAACAATACACCTATTTCTCATTATCATATGTCTTGCACGCATATTTTACCTCTGCTACGATGCATACAACATTCATCTTAGCTTCGATCCATTCGTATCGGAAATTTTGCTCAATTTGCCAGCGACATTTTTGACCGTTGCATTTGCCACCCTCATACTATTTTTATTAATACGTAGTCTCAATCATAAGAACAATCGATATTCGCCATTGATGCGTCCATTAACAGTATTAGTCGCCTGTAGTGTTCACGTTGGACTTTGCATAACGCTACATTACGTCGAGAGCGTTGCAAGCAAGAACTTTAGTTATACGTTGAGTCAACAAGCAGCAAATGGCTTTGCATCGACGAATAGTAATAAAATGTATAATAACATCATTCGTGGACACTCGGGACCGCCACGATTACTTTCGCTAATTTGTCAAATTATCTACATATTTGTGTGTCTTAGTTTGGGCATCTTTTATCTTTACATTTATCGTATATTAAAGCGCGTATTGCGCAATAAGTCACAAAATTATATACATGGATATCAGAATTTATCTTATGCAATACACATTACAATTGCCATTGCATTACTCTTCGTATCACTTGCTGCACTACAAATTTACGGTGCAATAAGTGTCTCATCGACAAAATCATTGTCAACATATGATATTGACATCAATTGGCCACAATGGGGTTATCAATTCTCACTGAGACTCATTGAGGTCACAATTATAGCCCTTTTGTCATGGGTAACTGGATTAAAGACTGGAGCATCTGATATGCAATTGAATGCCATTAATATGGATAATGGAGTCATACCTCCACATGGAGCACGTAGTGGTCTCGATTTTCAATTGGTTAATCCAAATGGTGGTCTCGCACGTGGCTACGAAACAAATAGTTTCAGATCAATTGGTGGTGTTGGCATACACAATAATCCAACAGACACGATAAAACATTATCCGTTGAATCATCATCATCATCCAGCGCAAGGACCACCGCCGCCACACTTGATAAATCATCAACCACAAATCAACAATGACACCGAACGGGATTACTTTAGTAATAATGATAATAATAGCACAATTGTGCCAGATCATTATGAGAATCCCAATTTTGAATTGAGATGTGATAATAGTAGTGATGCGAATGTTGTTAATCGTATCCATAATGGAAGTAGCTCAGAGAGCAATAACCAAAATAATTTAGATGAATATTATTCCGAGCCATTGAATGCACAACAACAGCAACATCATCATCATCATCATCCCCAAACGGGAGCTACAATGACACATTACGATGGACGATCTCGTGAGGGACCGAACGGTGCATATGACTTTCAGAATTTCGAGAGACCGACTTTTGATCGTTCAAGCTCGCGTAATGAGTTCCGTGTATCAAAGAATTTAAAGGCGCTCAAGAGTGGCACTGGCGCAAATACAAATACACTTAATTACAATTATAGTGATAATATATCAAATCATTCATCAGCATATGGTTTCACAACGGCTAATGCTGGTGGCAATAACAATAATATAAATAGTAGTAATAATAATAGTAATTTCAATAATAATTCATTCGAGCGGCGTAGTGGTGTTCGCAAGAGTGGTACATTAAATAATATTGGTGCTATACATCATTCGCGAGGTGGAAGTAGTGGAAATGAGCGTGGAACGAATGGCAATGGAAGTGGTGGATGTAATTCATCCTCGTCGTCATCTAGTGGTATTGTGGTCGGTCATCATCGATCTGGCATTCAAACACTCAATTCACGATCTGCACAGCATTTACAACAACAGCAGCAGCAGCAACAAATTCAACAACAACCACCAATGTTCCATCAACCACAATATGAGCGCGATTTTACGCGAAATACATCTGGTCGTATATCAAATAAAGCCAAATTAATGGCAGCTGCTGCACAGCACTCGCCAACCGCACAGCAACAAATACATCATCAGCAGCAACGTAGCGGAAGTAGTAATGTGATGGATCAATATCAAAGTAGCAGTGGTGATAGTGCGACCAGCGGCTCAATGCTTGTTGCCGAACACGGTTTCGTAAGATTTCGTGAATTAAGTGATATTGGTATTAATGAATGTTAATTATTATAATTTAATTAATTATTGTCCATTTTTCTCCTCCTCTACCTGCCTGCCTCTCTCTCTCTCTCCCTTGAATCTCCTTTATACTCAGTAAAAAAAAGCCTTTTCGTTCACTTTCCGAATATCTCTTTTTCTTTTCATTTACGTACATGAAGAAAAAAACGCGATATAAATTAATGATGATTATGGTATGATATTCATTGCCGATAATTATTTTATACCACTAAGAACCACTTACTAATTTTCCGTCTCTCCTTCTTACTTCGCCATTTTATCCTCACGGTTTTTTTATTTCCTCTTCTCATGACATAATGAATAAACATTTGCATTTACTTAATTTTTGTTAAGTTTTTATAAGATAAAAGAAATTAATTTCGTTCAGAATCTCCAATTTTTCATGATGTCTGTGGACTTCGTGCTTATGGATTAATGATTCTCGTGCTGTTTCTAAGTTATTCGTTTTGTGGGCTTTAAGAAAGTTATTACTGATCAAAATGATAGATACAGTGATTTTAAGGCTAGATAAAGCTTGTTTTTAATGAATAATGATTTCAAATTCGAAGAAATTACTTTTTTGAGAACTTTTTCTGAGTCAGCAGTTAAACAATAAGTTTAAGACTCTAAAAAGTAGTTTAATTATTAGGATTGTGGGTTAATAATAAAGCTGAAATGAATTGTAATGTTAGATTTAATGATTTTTGACTTACCTGAGATTTAATGTGAACAAAATGATTTGTTTTGAGTGAATCCAATGTCTGTCATGTTGAATTGTAAGGGAATTCAATTTAATTTGATTTTATCGCAATTTATGGTGAATTTTTAAAGCAACCTAATTTTGATTTTTAAATGCAAAGATACTATAATCTAGAATTTATTGGTCTTAAAAGTTCAATTTAGGTCTGTAATTTTCTCATGAAATCTTAAGATAAAATATTTCAAAATTCAAATAACCGTTAAAACAAAACTCCAAAAACACATCAAAAGACCTTCCTAACGACTCCAATTACTTAAGAAACACATTACTCCAAAAGACTAAGTCCATATCACGAGCAAATAAACTTTTATGTACATACGTGGGAAGTAAGAATGAGAGGGAGAAATGGATATATTGTGAAAATATAAAAAAGATATGATAGAAAACGGAAAGAAAGCAAAAAATCTCATAAAAATAACAAAAGAAAAACAAGTGAATAGAATTTTATTCCCCAAACTTAAACGATAAGGTATAAAAAAAAATATTAAGGAGAAGAAAGAAACAGAAAAAAATTGTGAAACAAAGCATATAAGCATTGCGTGCGTGAATGTATAAGGATCTTTTTACCGAAACAAAGCGAAAAGAAAGAATAATGATGAAAAAAAAATACAAAAAAAAATCTAAACTATAAATAACATTTTCCTAGGGATTGAAGTGAAGTGTATGAATGTTACTTTGTAATGCCCTCCTATCCCTCCTATATCTCTCACTCTCGGTATCTTTTTTGCAATAAAAACCGAGCGGTAAAGCAAGTTGGTGGTCTTTATAATCTATGGCATAGCTTAGTCACTGTTAAGGTGGCTTAATGGTTGTTGAGGGTGCATAGCAATCAAGTAAGATTGACAGAGGCAACATCTACTCCAATAATGCCTATTGCCGCTCGGGAAATATTTTTCATTCAGATTTTCGCATGGTCGCGCATGGATGATGTGAAAAATGACTGAAAAAATATATGTAATTACCAAAAAGGAGATGGAGAGAACAAAAAGTCGTAAATGGAAATGTGAATGAAAAATGGAAAATGAATATGAAATATGTAAATAGTTTTATACGGAATGATGAATGAAAAAAAAAATTGTCTTTAATCTCCCAAAAAAATAAAATAAAAATCGAAATTGTGCAAATTTGATATTGTTGTAGGCAACGATACACACACACATACACATACACATTGAAATAGAATTAAATTGATAATAATTTTTTTGGTATCAAGCATCAACAGCAGTCAAACAAAAAAAAGAGATGAAAATGCAAAAATAGATCAAAAGGAAACGTGAAATGCGGCAACTGTACACAAAATTTATGAATTTATATCTCATTAAATGGTTGTTATTAATGTTAATTGAATTAAATGCCTTGCGGGGAATCTCTACTCATATTGATATGTAAATTAATTGAATTTTATGAAATCATAGACGACTGATGCAGGTTAATTAATGAGAGAGAAATATTAACATTTGTAGCAATCATATTTGGTATTACTAGATTCCATTGCTGCATAAATTAATTCGATATTGCTGCGCTGCTCAAATTGGATCGATGGAATTTTTTCATTAAATTTCTCTCATTAAGGATTGGGTGTGTCGAGCTGGAAAATTGCGAAATTGAATTTAAATTGAGAAGATTTAAATTTTAAATTTGAATTTGTAACGGAAATTCTAAATTTGAATTTGTAACGGAAATTTTATATTTGAATTGATAACGGAAATTTTAAATTTAAAATAATAACGGAAATTTTGAAATTTTACCGGAAAATTTAAAAAAAATTCTACTTCAAACTTTCAATCAATCTTTAAAAGCCCCAACTTCTTCAATCTTCTTACTTAATGGAAGTCTTAACTGACTAGTATCCAAAACCTTATCACAATCTCACTCATGAAATAACCTTTTTAAAAAATGAAAATGAAATTTCGTTCACACACAAAATTAACTTTTAGAGACACACCAGAGAAAAAGTCTTATCTTTCATTCCATTGTTCCTCTATCTTCTCGTCTAAATGGCTTGTTGATGTAATAAGAAACAGAAAGAAAGACATTGAGAAAGTCAAACCAAGTCTTGTCCAAGCGTACGTCTGTTATTATGTGATGTACTTTGTTGGTTTGAAGACACCATTGACGATGGCGGTTATTATGATGATGATTTTATGTTATGGTTATTAAAGTCAACGAATTCCGTCTGTACATACCGCTTTCGAAATGCCTTTAAAAAATGTATGAACTCACTTTAATTTGAATAAGGAAGCGAAAGAGGAACCAAAGAAGAAGGGAAGATGAGAAAAAAAGAATGATTAATTAATTTTTCATAAAGCGATATGTAAAGATGTGCTGTGGGATATTGATGTTGTATAAGGAAAAAAGCAGTTTAAATTGAGGAAGATTGTGTTGAATTTTTTTGTGCTCGATTCTGTTGAATAATCAATAATTTTGCAGAGCAGAGAATTCGATATATTTTGCAAAAATTGAGAGGAAGCTGCTAAATTTACCTATTCTGCTGAATAAGCTATAATGCCAACGTTACTGAAAAAGCTGAATCTAAAAAATTTTACTTAATAAGCTGATGTCAGTCATTGTTGCTGAATAAGCTTAATTCATTAAATGTTGCTGAATTAGCTGAATTCATAAAATGTTGATGAATTTGCTGAATTCAGTCAGTCTTGCTGAATAAGCTGAATTCTACAAATGTTGTTGAATAAGCTAAATTCATAAAGTGTTGCTAAATTAGCTGAGTACATAAAAGGTTGCTGAGTAAGCTGAATTCAGGCAATGTTACTTAATAAGCTGAATTCAGCAAGTATTGTTAAATAAGCTAAACTTAGTCAATCATGCTTAATACACCATAAACATTCCCAATAGAATCCAGCAAATCGATTTTGAACATCTCAATGCAAAAATTTTATTAAATTTTCCTCAAATTAAAGTTATTCTTCCTGCATAATGCGGCATTATAAGACTTCAAACGAAAACTAGCAAAAAAAAAACAATCTCACAGATGAAGTTTGTGTCATGAGAATTTCTCCATCTGAGCATGAAAGCAAAACAACAGAAAAATCATGCATGAAATTCACTTAAATTAAACAGCAAATAGAAATGAAATTTAAATTTTTTCTGCTCTCGAAAAGAAAAAAAAAATTTAATTTGCATTCAAAAAAAGACCCAAAAAAATTGATTTGAGCTCACAAAAGAAGAATTTTTTGCTGATTAGATGAAATGAAAATTTTTTCTCTCTATTCTCATCTCGGACTAGCCAGTTAGATTTGCTTGTTTTCTTTATTATCTCATTGTTAACGGGAAATGAACTTTTTTTTTGTTGTTGTTCGTCGAAAGGCAGCAAAATAACAAGCGTCTAAGCTCAACTAGTCAGCATCTTAATGGATTTTGAATTTTATTCGCCTTTCCTTTTTGCTTTTCTCATTCTTTGCGCGCTACCTCCGACTCAATATAACATTTTTCAATGTTTAAGAAAAAATTAGAATTGAATTGAGGTTATAAACATTTTTCAAGTCTCACAAATGAATGTGCTGTTCATGCCTATAAACACCAACAACAACACAGCAACAAGCACAAAAAGTAACACTGAATTAATGAAAGAAGAAATTTTAAAATGGGGCAAATCAGAAATGATGTCTGTAAAAATAGAATTTTAAAGCCTCTTCCCGCTTGTCACATTTAAAACAGTGAGGCATGAAGGAGTGTCTGTTTTTGATTAACGTCATTTATGAACCACCACCATAGTGTTAGTGAGAGTCTTGTGAATAAACGCAAAGGTAACAAACAGCCAAACAGTAAGCAATGAGATGCGAAGAGCATGAGTCAAGAAGAAGGCATAAAAGATGGAAGAAAAAACAGCGAAAGCCACTCTAACACTTTATGGTCATTGGATTAATTAATCAAATTATGGACTTACTTTACATCTCTTCTTCTTCTTCTTTCTCCTGTATTTTTTTTTTGGTTCACTCACACGCTCTTCTCGACTTCTTGCTGTACCTCAAAACTTTCTATTCAAAAATAAAAAAAAAATAATTTTTCGGTCTATAAAGTCATCCATGAGCAGCCAGTATCGACATAATTACTCACAATCCATCAATTTTGTTTCTCTTTCATGTTTTTCGGTTCACAGCATTTTCATACTTGACTCGCATACCATAAAAATGATGCCGTAATTGAAAGTCACTGTAAAAAAAATTTTACTAATTTTTTGGGTTTAATCATGCATTTTAATGCTCAAATATTTGAGCATCGATATTATTGCCAATATTCTCTTAACAGCACTGCTGAATATGTACTTTATTTGCTGGAACAAAAAGTCATTATGAATCTCTCGATGAAGCTGGGTACAGTCAATATTGATGGACACAGAAAACTGTGTCTGACTGAAATTCAGCTTAATTGTCGAGAAGTGCAGTTTTGTGTACTCAAAATCAAGCATTAAATTGACATTTCCATTAATTAAACAACTTTATGTCCGACTTTATTGACTTTACTAGCTTCCGAGGCAAATGGATATGTTAATGAATAAACTAGACACTCACTAGTCATGTTCTAGTAAATTATTAGACATAATGTTGTGTCAATCAAGTGTTGTTGCTGTTGTTAACAAGTTGGTAGCTTAAATAAGGAGTTGATGTTGATTGGAATGTTGTAATTGGTAATTTGTTGGTGCTGGTATGAAAGCTTCCCGTGAGAATTTTATTTCTAGCTTTGTCTGGAATTCAGAGGCTTTTTTTTATATATTTCAAACAACTTTCAATAATTAGATAATCAGAGTAAAGATAATCCAATTATTTAGAGTTATCTTATAATTGATGATCAAATGGCTGCTTTTAAGATTACTTTATTGCATTCAAAATTTCACTTTGCAAAACTAGATTTTATCAAAATCTCTTCCAAACTTGTCACAATACATATTAGAGTAATTGTTAAGATCGTTGTCACTTTGACAACAATGAAAAGTCTTGGGTTCGAATCCTCAATTTCAAATACTTTGCATTTATGTCTG